CCCGATAGGCGCATGCATGGGGCTGCAATCCGCGGTTTCCGCTCGTTTAATACGCCTGGCAGTCTGCACATTGCGTCCCGGCAGGCCTCACACAGCGCCAAGCCAGCAGTCTCTGCGTTCCACACTTGAGCGCAGCAGACTGAGCCCCGGAGCAGCGCATTCGTACCTCAGCAGGCGCAGCGATGCATTGCAGCAGCGTGGCAGCGCAGCGAGCCTGCTGGCAGCATAGCCGGTCAGGCAGGGCGGCGGCAGGGCGCACCGTGCGCCGCCGAGCGACGGTCTGCTCGGCGGCAGCCACCAGCGGCAGCGCGCTCAAGCTCTTCTCCCCCTCCAAGGTCTGTGGCACTTGGTGTGACTGTGTGCTGCCCGCTGGCCGCCTGCAGCAGTCGATGGCAAGGGCTCAACGGCCACCCACAGTCCTGCCTCGCCCCACCCTGCTTGCTGCCGCCGCCAGATCAACGTCTTCCTGCGCATCGTGCGGCGCCGCGAGGACGGCTACCACGACCTGGCCAGCCTGTTCCACGTCATCGACCTGGGCGATGACATGGCGTTTGATGAGCTGCCGCGCGGCGCCGCCGCCGACCAGCTGACTTGCAACATGGAGGGCGTGCCCACCGACGAAAGCAACCTGGTCATCAAGGTGTGAGCGCTAAGGGGCCAGGGGCAGCGGCGGCAGCAGGGCGTGGCCGTCAGGGGGGCCAAGGTGCTCTGTGGAGCCCACCCGCCGCCACCACCCACCCACCCACCCCCACACACAACACAGCACACACACCACACGCTTGCCTCTGCCTCCCGCCCAGGCCCTCAACCTGTTCCGTGCCAAGACCGGGCGCACGCAGCGCTTCAGGGTCGACCTGCGCAAGCGCGTGCCGCACGGCGCGGGCCTGGGCGGCGGCTCGGGCAACGCCGCCACCACGCTGTGGGCCGCCAACGAGCTGTGCGGGCGCCCCGCCAGCTGCGAGGAGCTGCTGGAGTGGTCTGGGGAGATCGGCAGCGACATCTCCGTCTTCTTCTCACACGGTGCAGCCTACTGCACCGGCAGGTGGGCGGGCGGGTGCACGGGCAGGCGGAGCACGGGCAGGCGGAGCACCGCAGCGGGGAGGGCGGTGTGGTTCGTGGTGTGTGGTGCTGCCTGGCACGGCTCCCTGTGCCGTCGAGCAGGAGCCGCCAGCCCTGCCAGCCCTGCCTGCCCTACTATGCCCTCCTGGCTGCTGGCTACCTCACACTCCCCGCCACGCCCGGCCCCTGGGCACTGCCGCACCTGGAGCAGGGGCGAGATTGTGGAGGAGGTGGCGCCGCCGCTGGAGCTGGCCACGCCGCTGCTGCTGGTCAAGCCTCCCGTGGGCCTGTCCACGCCCGAGATATTCAGGGCGCTGGACCTGGGCAGGCGCAGCACGGCAGACCCGCGCGACCTGCTGGCGCGGCTGGCGGCGGAGGGCGCCACCCAGGAGCTGACGGTCAACGACCTGGAGCAGCCCGCCTTTGACCGGTGGGGCTGGGCAGTGCTGGGGCTGCTGGGCCTGCCTGCCTGCCTGCCTGCCTGGGGAGGCTGCTGCTTGCCTGCCAGGGCAGCCGCCTTTCTTGTGTGCCCGCGGCTGAGTTGTATGCATGTGCACGCCGCTGCGCGGCCGTGTGCAGGCTGCCTGCGCTGCTGGAGCTGAAGCGGCGGCTGCAGGCGGAGGGCGGCGGCTACAGCAGCGCCTTCATGACGGGCAGCGGCAGCACCATCGTCTGCGTGGGATCAGGTGGGCGCTGGGCGTGCGTCAGAGCTCCAGGGGTGGGAGCTGCGAAGGCAGGCGGCTGGCTCCCCAGGGGGGTGCAGACCGTTGCCCCTGTCCCATGACGCCGGGCGGTCGCCAGTTTGCAGGAGGCCTCTCCGAGCCAGCCTGCTCCCCTGTCTGGCCTCGCAGATGAGGTGCCAGCCTTCCTGTCTGAGCCGCAGTACTCGGAGATGTTTGTCAGCCCCGCGCGGCTCATCACGCGGCAGCCGGGGCAGTGGTATGCAGCCCCCAGCCGCGGCGCAGCAGCGGCACCTCCCCCGGCGGCGGCGGCAGTGGCATGAGTTTTGGCGGGCCTTGCTCTCCCATCCCTGTTTTGATTGATTATTCTTTCACATCGCACGTTTGCAATTTTCGCCGGCCGTCTCGAGGCTGCATCGCGTTGCAAGCTTTTGGCGCCTGCGCCCTTGAAAGCTGACGAGAGGGACTCCGCGACACTGTCGGCCCCATTGCACCCAACGTTTTTCCGTTTCCTGTTCCTTTGACGTGAAGCAGCAATGCAGCTCACCATGGCCCGCGTGGGCCTGAGGCCCGCTACAGCCGTCTTCGTTCCGCGCCCTTCGGCGTCGCCTATCAGGCGAGTTGGTGGCCTGCGCTCACTGGACGGTGTGCGCAGTAGCCATGCATGCATTGCGCGGGGGCGGCAAGCCTCGCTCACACATGGCCAGGTCCAGGGCGCCCAGCGCCAGCGCACGCCGACTGCTGCTCTCCCGCTCCACCCCCAGCAGGGCCTTCCGCCGCCTGAGCATCAGGTGCGACAGCGATGACGAAATTGTGCCCATCGTCAGCGGCAGGGTGAAGAAGGGATTTACCGACGTGAGAGGGGAGGAGAGCAGATCAAGAGATGGGCAGCGACTCCCCGTCATTCTGCTGCACCACGCGCAGGTGGTTTAACCTGCCTTCCCCGAACGCTGGCCGCAGAAGGAGTACGAAATGCTGAAGAAGCCGCAGCTGCTGGGAGGCGCCACCATCGGCGACGAGCTCTCCCTCATCCACAAGCGGTACCTGACAGCTGAGCAAATGGCGGCGAAGCAGGCCAAGGCGGCAAACAACGCAAATTGGTGAGCTGGAAGCGGACAAGCATGCCGCACTGTGGTGAAAGTGCCCTCTGATGGCCGTGCCTGCCAGTCCTCATTGCACTGTCCCCGCTGCACCTCCCTCTGGCGCCCTCCTTGCCCCCTGTGCGCAGGGATGGCGACGTGTACATCGGCGGACGCTGGAACGAGCTCAGCGTGCTGTACCTCATCTTCCTGATGGTGCCCCTGCTGGGCCTGGTCTTTGCCTGGGCCACCAACGGCACGCTGTGGAACACGGGGGTATATTACTGAGCAGTAGCAGCAGGGGAGAGGAGGCGCTGGCGTTGCCGTGCTGTCAACATCATGCGCCTTTGGGCGTCACACGCCGCCATTTTGCCTGCTGGCAACATCCCTACCATGTCACTCGCATTCTAGCAACTTTTTCATTTTTTGCAGCCCGCCCCGATGCGAAAGCGCAGTCTGTTGCAGCTGTTGAACCGCCTTGTTTTTCCACATGATTGCACGACTTTCCTGCCCTTCTTGTTGATCTGTGCCACTACATACTCCCCATTGCTAGCCGGCACCATGTCGACTGCCGTTGGATCTAGAAACTGCGCAGCAGCATGGCAAGCCACTATGCCTGAGAATCTTGTTATCAGGAGTCTGCCTTGCACTAAGCAACTTGGTACATTACATTGGCGAGATGAAAGATGAAACAAATTGCTGAGGAAAAGCTACATACTGAGTGCTCGGAGGCTCATAAGGGAAGCAGGCCCTCACAGGGTACCGAAAACAGAGAGTCAACATACAGAATACTTTATTTTCTATCACTGCGCTCAGCAGCGTTGCACGGGGAAGTCACATGGGTGAGTTGGGCTTGGGCCTGGCATCATCACACATCACAACCGCACCACGTCTTCCTGCCCCTGCTCATCCTGCGCCGCGGCCTGCGTGGCCGCCTCGCCCGCCAAGATGGACTGCATGCAAGTGGAGCGGAGGAAAGCACGGGATGGGAAGCGGATTGCATGCGGGCAAAATGTGGCCTAAACGCGGCCGGCACAGAGAACAGCAACCGCCATGACTGGACCGCCGTGCACCTCAAAGGCCTCTGACAGCATGAAGAGGCGGTGGTGGGCCATCATGGAGGGTGTCACCAAAATGCCCTCCGAGATTAGCGCTGCAGGCAGAGCAGGCAGGGCAGTCGGCAGCAGCAGCGGCATGAGCTGCAGCGGGCATGAGCATGCCCCACGTCGGCAAGCTCTTGAAATGACGTCATGAACACCGCTGCTGCTCACCTGCTGCATCGATCCACACCGCATCCCACACCGTCTGCTGCTTCCGCTTGCCCTTGAAGGGGCGGAAAAACACCAGCTTGCCTGCAAAGCAGAGCGGATGGACCATTGCAATGCCAGCGCTGGAGCAGGCAGAAGGCTGGCAGCAGGGCACCTTCCCCTCACTCACCGGGCGGGTACATTTCCGTGGTGTCTGCAGTCTGCATGTGCAGGTGACTGGCACGGTAGTACCTGCAGCCGGTGGGATAGCCCGCAGCAAGTGGCGACTCAGGCACGCACTTCACAGTGAAGCCTGCCACACAGCACGACAGCTGGATCGCCGCAGAAGCGGCGGTTTCCCAGCACTCACTGCTCCACCAGCTTCAGCGCCTCGGGCGCAATCTCCTCAAACTTGCAGAAGGTGTGATGCATAGACCCTGAGCGCTTCCGCCTGCCCAGCATCACATCAAACAGGATCTTCAGCTTGGGGCGCTTGCAGCGCGCCAGGCTCACCACCATCTCGTCCACCACACGCTTGGAGGTGTTGAAGCTGCGCGTAGGCACGGAGTTGGGTGCTGAAATGAATGATAGGGGATGCCCAGCTGGGAAAACCAAAGCTGTGGAAGAGACTCGCATGCAGGGTCGGTGCCTCAAACAACGCTTCAGGAAACCTCACCTGAGCCTGCTAATCACGTCCTTGCCAACGACAGTGCTGGTGCAGTAGTGCTCCGCAATCTGCACATCATACACACAGAGCATTCGTCTAGCTCCAACAGCACTCTCCCTGCAGTTGACATACATGCCCAGCCTGCCACTTGCCCCAGCGCTGCACGTGACCTATCCACCTGCGCTAGCTCCCAGCTCACTAAGCCGCCGGGAGGGTTGAAGGCCCAGCACTGAAGGTCTGAACACCAGAAAACAGGCAAATAGAGCCATTAGGGCGCTGAACCATCTGTCTGGTGCAGCTGCTGCACACCACAACAGACAGCTCAAACCCCAGGCTCACCTGCAAACCGCTCACGCAGCTGCATGCCCAGCATGCAAGCCACAGCCGCGCCCAGCGAGTGGCCCGTCACCACCATCTTCCACCCCTGCTGCTGCAGCTTGCTCCTGCAAGTATACAAGGCAACCATTAGGTTTGTAAGCAGCAAGCTGTGCAGGGTGCAGCAGGACGAACACATGCGTTGCAATCAATACCGACATGCCCTGCGCTGCCAAGCATAAGCTCCTGGCAATCGAGCCAGTTAGCCATCTGCTCCCAAAACAACACCTGATAATGGTCTGGGCACGTTCGACTGGCAGGTGCACCTCCACCTCCTCCTTGAGTGTCTGAAGGCGTGACAGGTACTGCTGCTCCGCCTGGATGAACTGAGACTGCTCCTTCTCGTCGTGCCGCCCCAGCGATCTGCTGCCAACCTTGCTGTCAATGTCCATCAGCCCGTGCCCGGCAGCCGCCGCCGCCAGGGGGTTGCTGCTCAGCGGCCCCAGGCTGTCCATGCCCTGCTGAGGCACAAGCGATGGCAGCTCGCCTCGGTGCGTCTCCAGATACTCAGCAATCACCTCCTGGGTGTCGCGGCCCAGCAGGGTGGCAGCACGCAGCAGCTTGGACAGCAACATCTCCTGCACTTGCCCAGGAGCAGCAGCAGCAGCACGCTTGGCAGCAGAATGCGCCCGCCACCTGGGTTCACTGCAACCTGCACACCCGTGAGCTTGAGTTCTCGTTCAGCAACCAGCAAATGCATGCACCACGGCACCCACCCGCAGCAGCCCCCGATTCTCCATGTCCTTCAGGATGGCGGTGGCGCTGGACACAATGCCGATGTGCGCCTTGAGGCCGTCCCCGCTGGTGTCGCCCGCAATGCCGGCGGCCTGGCGCCGCTGCGCCTCCTGCCGCACCCACTCGGGCACCCAGCCGGCCACATCCACAGGGTTGGACAGCAGGTCAGTGATCAGGTCCTCCATGCTCACTGCAGAGGGGAATCAGGAGAGTGGAAGTGAACCAGGAGCGTGATTCATGCTTTTCACACTCTACAGGCTGTCGTTTGGCCACTCCTCCTACCTGTGCCGCGAACAGACAGAACCACCGACTTGCTGGGGCGGTGCAGCATGATGAGGTACGGCAGCACGCCGCCTGCGACAGGCAGTAAAGGAGGCTTGGTGTGGGTCGTGTGTGAGCGCTTCAGCCAACCACAAGGACCAAAGCCACCAACATGTAGCAATTATGGCGATAAGTGTTGTCCAGGTATCCAGGAGTCCAGCTCCCTTGCCCACCTGCCACATTGGTGTAGCTGACGTACAGCAGATCAGCAGGCTGTACCCCTGCAATAGACGCGTAGGAGAAGCGAAAACAAACTGGCAAGGATTAAGAGTAAGAGTAAGAGTAAGAGTAAGAGTAAGAGTAAGAGTAAGAGTAAGAGTAAGAGTAAGAGTAAGAGTAAGAGTAAGAGTAAGAGTAAGAGTAAGAGTAAGAGTAAGAGTAAGAGTAAGAGTAAGAGTAAGAGTAAGAGTAAGAGTAAGAGTAAGAGTAAGAGTAAGAAGATTAAGAGTAAGAGAGAGACCCTAAAGGCAGCGGGTCCTCGTGGATATGTGCACCACAGAGCACCCAAGGCAGATGCAGGTGTCTGCGCATTCAAGAAGCAGGGACCCCTGTATGCAGCATCCACGCCACACCAGCCAAGCAGCGGCGGTGGCTGGTTGCAGGCAAACAGCAAGCCACCCGATCAACATCCAACGATCAGCTCTTAACACCAGGACCCACCTGTCATCTCGATGATGGCATTAAAGTTGCGCTTGCGGAACTTGTTCTCCAGCCCCAGCGGCTTCTTGAAGCACTTCACCAGCCGGTTGGCGTTGGCCAGGCACATATTGGGGCGCCTGCGGCAGGCATGACATGGCGCCGGCCACAGTGCAGCAGCGTGATCTCAGCACCAAGACCAGACACCAGGCTGCTATATCCGAGTATGGTTCGGCGAGTCCTGCCGAACGTGCAACATGTTTGCAACCACAGCAACACTAGAAACCAGCCAGCTTCCAGCGCCTCACCTCCCCTTGGCCCAGATGACACTTTGCAGGCCGTACGCCGCCACGGCAAAGCGGCTGATGCGTTGCGCCTCCCGCAGAGTGCCCTGGTCGACCGCATCCAGCCTGCCTGCAGATGGCAGCAAAACAATATGGGCTGCTTGTGTGGCACAGCGACACGCGTGGCAGGCATCGACAGCTGAAACTGTGATCTGTGTGGGGGAAGAGATGCCAAGCCAGGCTCCACCCAGGCAGGATCCCTGCAGAGGCGTCGCAGCGCACCAGCATAGATGTCGGCGGCTGCTTGCGGGGAGATGGGCGGCTCCAGCGGTTTGCCGCTGCTGGCGCAGCCGCTTGGGGTGAGCAGCGGGTGGTACCTACAGTGGCGAAGCCAGGAAACAGGTCGCAGGATGTAGCGCAAAGAGATTTCCAGTTGGAGCGTTTCTGGAAGTGAAGGCACAGGTGCAGGCAGCAGGTATCTGGCGACATCGTCGCCACGAGCAGTCCCGCCCACCTGGACGCGACACGGATGGCCGCATTCTGCCAGCTGCCGCCCGTGTGCGGTGACCCAGTCAGCCTCAGGCTGCCTGCCGCCTGGCTGCTGGTGTCGCTCGGCCCTCGCTGAGGCTCCTCAAGCACATGCTCCGGCTCCACAGAATCGCGAGCCTCCAGGCCCGCCAGCGCATCTGGCAGCGTGCCGCCCTCCTGCACAGTGGCCATCACATGGACCACGGGCTGGCTGCGCTGGCCTGTCATGTACTCCAGGCTGCTGCGCAGCCGAATCATGCTATGCTGGTAGAGCAGCAGCCGCGCGTCGCCGGGGACCACCGCGCCCGCCGGGCTGTGCCTGCCTGCTGGCGGCCCCACAGACTTGCGCTGTGAATCCATCGACAATGGGGCAGGCATGTCGAATGGAGACATGGGCAGGTGGCCTGCCGCCACCTGCGCCGCCACTCCCGCCTCGCCCAGGGGCCCCAATCCGCCTGCTGCTGCTGCCGCTGCGGCCTCCACAAGCGGCACTGCCTGCGGCGCCTCGGCTCCATCCTCCAATCCATGCTGTGCCTCGCCATTGCTGTGCTGCGACGCTGGTGTGGCCGGGGACTGGTTGGGCAACGAAGCTCGTGCCAGCGAGTGGCTGCTGGCTGCCGACGGTGCCGAGACAGATTGGAGCCTGCTGCGCCAATGCCCGGGCGTGAGCCGTGACAGGACCTGCTTCATCCTGCTGCTCCCCCTCCCCTCTGCAAAGCCTGCAAGCAAACATAATCGTCGCAGAATGGCATGGCACGATGGAGAGGTTGGCCGACGTGGCTGATGATGCACCATGCCGCAGTATTGAGGACATGAAGCATTGCAGTCAACAAGCGAGCTGCCTCATTCCGTGCTCATTCCACTTACCTGCATGCTGCAGCGCCGCAAGCACGTCCTGCTGCCGCCGCCGGTGCTGGCGCTCGCTCACAAGGTAGATGCCCAGCAGCCGGTCTGCAGGGCGGGTATAGGGGGTTCATTTGATGATGAGCACGCCACCTGTGGGGCAAGATTGGATGCTGGCACCAAGCAGGGCCCACCTGTGGGGTCCATGTCTGCGCCGCCAAACAGCAGGTTCAGGGACTTGGCAATCTCGTGGGACACGCTCATGTTGCTGCAAAGATTGGAGCATGGGCAGGCAGCAGCAATGGCTTGGCGCAAGGGCTGACAGCCAACCAGCAGGCTGCAGAAACGCCTGCAGAGCAGACACGGGCAGGCGGCAGCCTGCCCAGCATGGGTTGTTTGGCCGCATTGCGCACCTGCCGCTCACAGTTGCTGAGCCAGTCAGCCCACCGCCGCACAGGCACAGCCGATTGATGCTGCGCACGGTGCCCTCCCAGCTGTCCACATCGTTGTAGTCAGGAAAGGCGTTGAAGCAGACTAGCAAAACTAGGCTGCAGCACAACAGCAGGGCAGCAGCCAGCAGGGCAGAATTGCTTGCATGCACAGGAAGGCTGTCCTGGGTGGCAGGGCGGTGGCCGGTCGTTGCAGCGTCACTCACACTGTGATGCCCAGCACCGACCAGGACGTGATGACAAGGACCTCAAAGAACTGCTTCCTGCAGCAGGGACACCCAACGCCACAGCATCGTGTGAGATCAGCAGTCGGCATGGTTGTTCTTCTAGAACAGAGACTAGAACAAAGCAGCAAGCAGTTCTGGTCGTAACAACCAGTCTGCCCTAGCAGCCTGCATGCACCTGCTTTTCTGATCTGGGAGCGAAAGGATCTGCGCCCACTGCGTGCAGTCATCCGCATAACTGCAGATTGAAGTGATAGCATGCTGGCGGCTGGCGTCACATTTGCCACCAAACCGTCGCAGCGAGACGTGCCAACTGAAAGCACAGCAGTAGGTGGACTTGCTGCACAGCACCACATGCAGGGAAGCTCCACATCCACTTACTGGCTCGTCTCCTGGCAGGTTTGATTGATGCATCGGAACCAAGGCATGTCCTGCAAACCCAGGACCAGGGTGGCCACTTCACCAAACAGGCAGCCAGAAACAGGCTGACCCAGAATCGAACACGTGAGCTCTGCCCTGCACGGCTCACCGAGGCTCTCGTCAAGCTGGGCGCGCTTATGCCAGAGGTGAGGTCCAGCTGCGTGGATGTGTTGATGGCTTTCACCAGCTCGTAATTTGTATCTGCATTTGGGAGGTCAGGAAGGAATGAGAAGGTTGGAGAGTCAGCATCTAAAGCATTAGCAATGAGCAAGAGGCGTGCAATCCCTGCTTTCCAGCGACACACAAGTTGGCGCGACGTACAGCGGTACAGATCGGGATGCTCCCTGAGGTATTCATTGTATTCCCCCACGTTGTCAGTGTTCTGCACACAGCAACAGGGGCAAACTCAGTGCGGCCAGCATACGACTGTGCTTCTAGCAGAATGTCAGGATGGTTGAAATGATGCAAACACTGGCGGGTTGCACCCACCCCAAGATAGATGTTGCCCTGCCGGTAGTCTGAGGTGTTTGACAGCTTAACGGTGATGTTCACTGCAAAAAACACAGGGGTTTCATGTGTGACGGCCCATGGCTGCTGCGCTGGCCAACCAGAGCCGAGCAACATTCCAAGCGTAGCAAGTCAGCAGTGACCACTGCACCCATCATGCACAGCAAGAGGAGCACAACTCAGTCTGCCGCACATACATTCCGCCAGCCAATTGGCCGTATCCACGGTACTGTTGCACTCCCCGAATGATGCCAGCTGCCTGCAACCACAAGAGCAGGCAGGGTGGGCAGCAGAGCCCACAGCAAACCCCACACAGCTGACTGAAGCAGCACAGCCGCAACGCACTCTTTCGGCCACGGCGCGACCGGAGCAGTGCAGGTGGCTGGGTTGTCAAGCGACCACCAAAAACTGCACTTCCCCTGGGAGGTGTCACCCAGATTCTCCGTTTGAATTGCAGCGACCAAGTCGCCACGACTGATCTGTCTGCAGGCACGTTGGCACAGTATAAGCAGGCATCACTAGTTGAGCGCCAAAAGGGGATTCAGTGTTGCAAAAGATGCATGGAGTCCAAACGCCCTGGTACTCCACGCTTAGTTGCTGACTGTGCAAAACACAAAACAGCATGCGCACGTCCGAGCAGCACAGCAAAAGCAGATGGGGCGTTGTATGCATGGCCAGCTACCAGCGCCGACGCACATGAAGAAGCAGGCCAGGAAGTGGTAGATGGCGCAGTTGGCAACGTGTGTGGCCTCGGCGTCTGCTGCCATGAAAATCTCGGGGACAAGCTCAACTGACGGGTCTCCGAGGCCTGTTGCATTGCCAGTCATGTTGGTGGCCACTGCGTAAAACCTCTCATAGTAGATATCCATTCCCCAGTCGTTGATGATATGGACCGTTTCAGTCACCCAGTTCAGCCCGGAGACAATCCAGCCAGTCCAGCATTCCCTGCACCCAGCGGTGTGGCGATCAGTCGTGCAGAATGCCAGGCAGGGGAGCCAAGTGTGCCAAAAAACAGGTAGTGCAGCAAAGCAGGGCAGGCCGCGGCTCACATGAATCTTGGGCCTGCATCAATGATTGCCTGGCAGGATGGCGACAGCTCTTGGATGCCTGCAGGCAGGGCACAAGGAGCGAAGCAAATGAGCTCCCCGTTGTGAAAAAAGTTGCAGCACACCTTAAATGCGGCGGCGCGCTTCAAATGCTGCAGCACGTCCTCGTTCCACAGCACCGCAGCAGCTTGACGGGCTGCAAGGAAGAAATGGCAGAGCAGTCGTGCTGGCTGGCTGCACTGCTGCTGCGTGACGCACTTGTTTTGTTGCCGCCCTGGCAGGCCAGCGGGAAGATGTCTGGATTGTACTGGCAGGGGTTGTTGGACCAGCAGGACTCGTGGACTTCATCGCTATATGTGATCACAGTGGCGTAGACTGCACCAGGAAGCGGCGGCGCAGAGCTGTAAGATGTAAGATAGTGCATCTTACAGCAAACAGCAACAACGCTCAGCCGCAACCGCACCAGCGCAGCCAGCAACCCTGCTCTTCAGGAGAGCGGGTGCAGCCCACTGGCTCCTGCTGTGCAGCAGCTCACACCTGTGAAGCACAGCAGCAGGAACCACAGCACGACTTCCAGGTACAGCAGCGGCTCCATGGGCCGCCGCTTCTTCGTCTCAAATGGCCCCCCTGCTTCCACAGAGAACCAAGCAAGCCAGCAGATCAGCACCATGCAAGAAACACGCTGCCACCAGCCAGCGCGGACAAACCTTGCCCTGCCATGCCAGCAGCACAAATTGAGCGGCAACACGCCACCCACCTCGCAGGCCCATCACCGTGAGCACAGCCTCGTTGATGGCGGCCAGCCCGAAGAGCGCAAACAGGCTGTAGTTGGCCACGCGCAGCTCGTTGGCGTGAGTGCAATCATACTGCAGGCCTGTGCCCTCGATGGACCATGCGCCTGCGGTGGCAATCACAGCATGCTGGGCACATGCGCGTCGCGTGGGAGTAGGGGAATCGGCACATTGGCGGCCACACATTTCCACACATTCCGGTGCCATGTGTTGCCCCCTGATGTGGCACCCTCCCGATTGGGCAACCCCCGCCCCCGCTCCCTCCTGGCAGCCCGCGCGGCGCTCCCCTCCCATACGTGAACTGACCCCATATAGCCCTGTTTGAGGGTTGAGCGGGGCGGAGCGGGGCTGCTTGCACACGTGATGGCATGCACGCTTCAACGCTCCCGCTGTCATCTCACCTCTCTAGCGTCAGAAATACAACTCTTACAAGCCAACCAACACGAACAGAGAGACCGAACAACAGAAATGAACAGGAAATATGAAGCCGCCACAGGCGGCAGCACCTTCCAGCGGAGACGGCAAAGCGTACAAGGCACACTTTTTCAATGGTTCTTGCAATTGCCACCCTTACCGGTTATACAGCCACAGTGCCGCCCACACCGCGCACCATTCTTCTTGCAGCTGCAGTTCCGGGTGCAGGCGCCGCGGCAGCCGCAGCGCACGGCTGCCTTGCCGCCGCCGGGCTGCGCCGCCATCGCCACATTGAGAGACACCACAGGCACTCCTCGCTGCGCCGTGCCGCTGAAGGTCAGCTCGCTGGCCAGGCTGGGTGGCGCCTTAGATAGCCTGCTGGCCTGATGCATACCCTCCACCACTCCAGCTCCGCTCCGCAGCCG